AGCAATTGGTCTTCTGCTATGACTCATGGCTGAAGCGCACATGAGGACATTCCCTTTCCTTACAAATCATATGCTTCAATACAGCTGCTCCCTCCTATGGCCCCTTCTTCAGCCTTACACTGATCAAATCTCCTCTCTCAATATCACGTGTAGCAACCCTATTGAACATGAAAGCGTGCTAAATGACCTCCCAGTACTTCAGGAGCTTCGAATGGACATGATGGACAGTGCTGGTATTCACAGGTACACTCTACCCATCTCCCAACTCTCTGCTCTACACACTCTTGAGTTCAAAGGACTTTCCAGGTTCAAAACCTTGCCTCTTTACCTGTCCTCAACTCCATATGGGCCCACCTGTCAAATCTGACAATCAACTCATATGAGCAAGGCGCTGTAATGTGCCTACTCTGTCTAGCTCCCAACCTCTCCTCACTGAAAATCTACTCGCTCTTCAGCCATGAATTTCCCCTAGAACTGCTCACTCACCAACATTCAATCCTTGTCCATCAAAGCTAGCCAACATCATTTTGCATCTGTTCAAAGCAAGCTCTTCGACGGGACCCAGTGTCCACCTTTCTTAATGCACTCACACTCCCAAATCTATGCATACTTGACATTGGCAGGATATCCTGGACTGGTGAAGAGCTGAAGGATGTTAGGAGTGGTACAGTTGGAATCGCTATTGATATTGAAGCTTTGGTTGAAGATGAATGTTTGGGATTGTAATGTTGACTAGTGAGTAGGGCTGTTTTTTGCTTTGGATAACCTATACTCATTATGTGTATTCTGAGTTTCCCACAAAGGTATACTTTCGCATTATTCACAATCTGTTCTGTGTAAGATCTCTGCATGCAGAAGAATGCAATTAACGTATGACCCTCCGGGCCTCCATATCTTTTATCACATGATCCAGAGTAATTGTATAGCAATTTCACAGTTGCTAACCATTTTGCTTTCTTCATTTCTAGTGTCTCTCATTCATGCCCCCAAGAGCATGTCTCTCTCTCAACGTCTGGGTCACAATCCAATCCTCTTGGGGACCAATGATAATCTGGTATATCTGCACAAATCATGGTTGCTGTTCCCAATGTGGTCATTCCCGTCTCCACATTTCAGTGGAACATTTTCCTATCACTATTGTTTGTGTAGCCCATGGACAGGGTGCATTTGGCCATATTTGGGTAGTCACAACTCTCACTCAAAGCGCTTGGAGAACTATGACAAGGGTGGCTACATAGTGTGGGAGCACTCATATGGAAAATTCTTCAGAATCCTTCAGATTCCTCAAGGAATCAAGGTGAGTATGTTGACTACCTGAATTTGGTGCGGTGATTCAGTGATTCCATAAACAGGCTGAGGGTGTCCATGCAATGATGGAGAATGGAATGCTTACTGTGAGCTTCCCAATGGCTGGACCCGACCAGCAACCCCAGTGTGTTCCAATCACGTGTACACGTGGTGGTATCTCCAATCTGTATTGGATGAAGATGTAGATTTGGATGAATGTGACCTTGACAGTGACTTTGATGATGGTCATGACAATGATGAAGAAGAAGAAGTGGAGGGGGAGGACGGTTGTGTTTGGTGGATGTTGAGGGTGCCAAGCTGGGATTGTAACACCTTGAGTCCCAGTGATTGTGACCCCCATGATTTCGATGGTTCCATCTATTTTGCTGCTGGCAGCATTGATAGTGCCAATGACACAGAAGCAGGCTACATTGCCTCCAAGATCCGCCTCACTGCCTGCACTTGGTGGACAGTCTTTATTGGATATAATGCCCACTCCACTCCCTTTGTGCATGTCCCCGGTGTGTTCACCTCTACATTGAATACCATCTCCTCCTTTGACGCCCCAGCATGTCTCTGCTCTCTCAATGCCTGCCACTACATCAACGCCTGCATAAATGGCTTCCTTAACCCCCACATCTAATCAAATGCCCTCAACACCAACTCCCTCACCATCACAAACACACCCACTCACCTTCCCACACGCTCTACCCCTCTCCTCCCTCCACGTTACCTTCCTTGCCTTGCCTCCCTGCACATTCATGGGGCGCAGCACCCCTCCTTATAGGAGACAGCTGAGCAAGTGGGGGAGGTGTGTCTGGTTGTTTTTATCTCATGAACGTGTTTTACATGCAATGTTACAGTTTTTTTTTTGACATGTGTGGTGTTCAATGTATGGGGGATGTGTGGCACATACACTCACCAACACTCAAGGTGGAACTAGGACATCCTAGCTTTGGCTTGTATTCAGAATGAAAACAAGCCAAAGGCCAGGATATTTCATTGATTACACCTTCTGCATGCGGAGGTCAACCATTACTTTGCACAATGCACAGGATGAATCATGGATAACAGGAAAGTATCCCTCCAGTAAACATGGTATGTGATGAGCAATACTAGGTTATTCAAAGCCAAAAAGTATCCTGCTCATAGTGGTCCACCTGAGCAGAACCTCCAGAGTCCAATAGCCCATCCGACCATACCACTCCCAACACCTTTCAACTCTTCACCAGTCCATAATTTCGAGCCAACATTAAGCAGACTTAAATTAGGGAGAGTGAGTGCATTGAGAATGGGAGACACTGGTTCAGATGCACTACTTGGGCTGGCTGTGATGGACAATGAATGGATAGTGATGTGGGTGAGTGGTTCTAGGTGAGAGCCATGCCCAAAGAGTTCATGAATGTTGAATGAGGAGAGGTTGGGAGATAGTGTGAGCAAGCACATTACAACATGTTGCTGGCATCTACTGATTGTCAGATTTGATAGGCAGGCCCACACAGGGTTGAGGGGAGGTAAGAGGTTGGAGACAACACACATTAATCCTTTGATCTCGAGAGTGCATAGAGTGGATGGTTGGGGGATGGGTAGCAAGACAGATTATAGTGTATAGTGATCTCCAGTATAGGGAGTATACCCATACATGGGGTCAATTTGAAGCTCCTGGAGTGCCAGGAGGTCATCTAACAATATGTCAAGTGCACCAAGACAGTGCAATGTGACATCAAGAGAGGATATTTGATGGATATAAGGCTGTAGAAGGGTTTGTAGAGTGATGGAGTCTTGTTTGAAGCACATGCCAATATCTAGGGAGAGGGGATATCCTCGCATGCGCTTGAGCCATGAGTCATAGCAGAAGAACCACTGCTGCTCCAAGTTTTTCCAGTCAACTATTATATATAATTTGCACCACAGTGAGGGCATATTCACAGAAACCTCTCTCCATCAACTGCATACTCTGGTGAGCAGAATAGGAGGTGAATTTGATTCGGGCAACATGCAAGCAGTTTTGGGGAGTGTGTAAATAAAAATATGGCACAGGACTTTGGTTGGCAAGCAGGATATGAGACTACTAGTCTCAGTACTGACATGCAAGTTCATGACGGTCACATGGAAGGAAAACCAGCTGGGCCTCATCAATGCATCCAGTCTGTGGCTGTGCCATGAACTATGGAAGCCAGGACCACTGTGCTCTATTTGTCAGCAAAATTTGTACTATATTAGGCAGGAGCTTCTTGAGTACCTCATACACTGCAAGAAGTTTGTTTGGCCAATTGCCAGATAATATCCAACAAAGATATTGGTATCTGATGTTGTACAGTCCAAACCCAAGAAATACTGTGCAAGATCATTCAGATATAATCTAAGAGGCAATTGGATCATCTCCCCTACATCCGGCTTCCATCTCTGAGTCCACACATTCAACTTCCATCCTCTCTGTGCTTTTGTCTTCTGTCATTGTGGCAAAGGGCACCAATCCAAAGCCTGGCCACTCACAAAACTCATTGCACTTGTGCTGTTTCTTGAACATGCTAACCATGCATTCCATATTCCCCTTGCCAAAAAGATCCTTCCCTTGGTCAACCGACCTAATCAAAAAATTATAACACATAAGCATAATTAAGTGAGCATGGAATGCCATATTGACACATGGGTTGGTTAGGATCTGTGGGTCTGTTAGCACCTCTGTGCTTCCTATCAGGATATCTGAGTCAGTGGTGTATCGAGCTGCAAAGCAATGGAAAGAGTTACCTTGATAGTCTGAGATGAAGGCCAAGCCACCTGTCTTTGCATCCTGCACATGTTGCATGAAAGCAAAGAACAAAGCTACTTCATAGCAATAATTGTCTTGATTGAGCAGAGGATTAGAGTCCATGTTGTGAATGACCTTCAGAAAAATGTCTGGTCCACCTTCAATAAGCTCCTCTACAAGATATCCTGCACATGTTGAGCCTGTTTTTGAGCCTTCCTTTGTAGGTTTGGAATCACATTGAGAGTAAGAGATTGCCAAGCCAGCATCAATGAAGTGCACATGAGGGATGTTGAATGGCGGAGGTTTGTCAGAGGAGGCAATACAGTGATTGATGAAGGTGTATGTGAGCTGTAGGAGAGAATGAGCCCAATATAAGATGTTTGCTTCCTTGCCAAGCTTGGCTATTTCGTTGATTGAAGAAAAACGACCTATTTTGTACATAAGACTTGAGGCGGATGGAAACACCTTATGAAATGGTCGCTTTACTGCAACATTTTGACCAGGAGTCAATCCTAGCCTGCTTTTAGCAAGAGGAGTGAGAGAAAGCCAACCAGGATGAGCAGTCTTGAATTCACCAGCCCCCAGCATGCTGCATGTAGATGAATTGATTGTCAGCTGTCCAATTATCGACTGTGCTGGTTCCACCTTGAAAGAACAATAGTCGACATTCTTCAGAATATCTGCAAGCAGACAAGTGGGGATCCTGTAGAAATGAATGTGTTCAGTGTATGTACCAAGCACTGCAAGAAAAATAGTTAATGGTGCATCACTGTGACAGGACACCAAACTCACCTTGCACAATATCAAAGTTTGTTGCACTGCCTCCACTCTGCAGTGCTTCCTTCAGGTCACTGCAATCAGGTGAGCTAAACAGCACTCTGGGTGGCACAACTGCAAGTTTCTTGTGAGGCAGTGATGAAGATGTGGTGGTGGCACTCAGATTGTTCCTGTGGGACCATTTAGTAGACTTGAAGGCACTTGACAATGTAAGATTTTGGGTGGACACGGAGGCGCTTGGCAATGCAGTAGAGACCTGTAGCATAGATATGAATTGTCTGAACTGCTGCCAGGTGTAAAATGAACTTACATTCTCCATTGTTTCTACCCAATGTTGAACTTGAACTTGACAAGTGGCAACCTGTCTTACCTCCTCTGCTTTTTCTACCCATTCCTCATACTCATTCCATCGAGCCTCTGGAATGACGACCATAAGCACAAATTGCTTGGTTTTGAATGTGGGTGCCTTCAATCCTTTCTTGCTTGGGACCATGCATTGCAAAAAGAAATATGGGACCAAGGCCTTGTGTGTAGAGAGGTCAACCCATACTGCATCTCAGACAACAAACTCCTCAATATGCCACAGGAATCCTGCACCAAAAGTCAAAACCTCAGGAAGGATAGTGTCAAATGCAATATCCATGAGCCCAGGAGCATCAATGCATGCATTGACATCTTTTTTGCCCTCCCAGATATTCTATGATGATTGATGAGTGAGTGACATGTGGGTTGAACAAGTGATACTCAAAACAAACCCCAATCGCAACCCAATGTTCTTTCCTCTGTGCACTGACCTCATGGACTGCCAAAATGTCAAGTGTGATGGTCTCCATTGGTGGAAGTGCATATGAGAGTTTTGCCCAATGCTCATGCTCGGTGCTATACTGTGCATGATTTACTGAATAGCCTGCAGAGCCTGAGGAGCGACTTGGATTGTTTTGCAGCTGCCCCCATGACAACAGGATAGCGATGTCTGGTCCAGCAGAATGAGTCATTGATGGCGGATGGATGCCACAACCAAATGCAATAACAGGAGGGGGGTTGATCATTGCTGTGTGTTTGAGTTCTCAATCAGATCCAGTGCACGGCATGAACAGTAATCAACAGCAAACATACATTTTCTCTGTGCAGCATTGACACTTTGGCCAATCATGTGCGGGTCAGGAAAGGTGTGGGGGAGTTGCAGAACAGCACTTGATGTTGAACTGGATCTAGAACCAGCTGCTGCAAAAATAACTGCATGTCAGTCATCACATGATACAGCAGCACTGGGTTAAGCATACCAGTGGGTCTCACAGATGTGGCTGGCATGGTTAGATAGTGGGCATGACATGGACTGCATACATAGTGACCAGGTTTCCCTGGGTCAATAGTACCAACATAAAAGCAAGGATCCCCCTTTGCAATCCTTGCTCAACAAACAGGGCATTCACAAATATGATCCTCTGCTGCAAATGTGTCTTCTGTGAACTGAGAGATGAGCTTGAACTTAGGCATGACAAGGGAAAGTGGTTTGCTGTTGGATATGACTTGCCATTATATATTGGATGCCACTGTGCCACAAGAAACACAGTGAACACTGCAACAGATCTGTCTGGACTCAAAGTATGTCAGGAGTAGAAATACTATCATAGATAGGGCGCTTCTTACCATGCAGGCAAATTGTTCCTTGGCATTTGTCCCAAAGATTGACATAGATATCTTGACCTACTAGTAAGCTGACACTACCAAAGTAAGTTACACCTCAAAGATACTAACCTCAGCGCTTGTACCGCACTTACTCCTCCACCAACAATTCATCAGCTGCCTTCCTCCGAGTCATATCACCCTCCTTTACTGGCAATCCTGTGTGATCTGGCTGGACTGTCAATTGCAAACAATTCTCCTTGCAACTCCTTGCAACCCTGAGCCACTTGCCAAGAGTCTGAACTGCCTCCTTTGAGCACTGCACCTCATCATAGTCATGTGCCTACTTCACTGGCATCAAAATTACTAATAGTAGTCTCCTTAGGGGTGTATTGACCGGGCACCTCACCCCACTGGTGAGATTTGCTATCAAACCACTATCAAACCAACTCTGTCTCCAGAGCAGATTTGTCCAGTCCCACCTCTGGCAAAGTCAATTGGCTTATATATGATTTCTTGTTCGTCACCAATTTTGATTGTGCTTGCTTCAATCCTCTCTCACTGTATCCACTAGCAGCTGGAGCACCTGATGCCAAATCAGAACAAGCCATCCCATATGTACTTGTTGTTCTCTAACACTACTACTGGCTTGATGTTAAGTTCTAGCACCTCTTGATGTCATTTCTCCGCACATCATTCAATTGTGGAAGACATGACAAACTGACAAGCAGATTGTTCAGAGCCTATGGAATCATTGTGATACCTCACGCTACAGTCTTGGGTAAGTCATTCAATCATAACGTGCTGTGGCGCTTACTCACTTGAAACTTCAAAATCTAGACTGATGAAATTTGTGAAGATATGAATTGGAATGGGCCTTCTGTGCACACAACAACAGTCACACACTGTCAAAAGTATTTGCGACGTTATGATAGACCTTCAAGAGACATATCCTAATGCAGGGGCCCAGGAAATGGTCAGTTTGCTCTTTCATGAGCAAGCCATGAGTGTTTCAAGGTAAGTGCTATCTTGTGTTGTCTATGATGCTGAATCTTTCATGATGTTGCAGAAACATAGTGGTCACATACTTCACTACTTATGAGGCCAACCTTGTTCACCTGCACAAGGCTCATAGGCTCTGGAGAAAATGGTTCTGGGCAGCAGGTGTTAACAACTTGTTTGCTGTTGATCAGCATGACAAGTGGCTTAGGTTTGGGCTTGCATTACACACTGGCATTGAGCCATTCTCTGGGTGCATCATGTGGATGAGAGTGTGGCACTCAAACCAGAACCCACAGCTGATACTAACATATTACCTTGACACCATCCAGGAGCTTGGTTGTAAGTTGATTTGCCTTATTATGTATGACCACAACACTATTGATTTACTGTTTTAGACATGCCTATGGTCACTCAGAGTGACCCAGGATCAGAGAACTTTGGTATCACCAATGTGCACACCATGCTCCATCAGTGGCATGATCCAACACTGGAAGGTACCTTACAGCATTGCTGGATGCATACAAAGAAGAACGTGATGCCAGAAATTACTTGGTCTCAGCTATGCTGCCAGTTCACCCCCAGCTTTGAGACTTATCTGGACCATGGTGTTGAATCTGGTTGGTATGACTTTGACAACACTTTGCAACAGTGCGTACTCCATTTTTTACACTCTATAGTCCTGACAGATGGTTTTGGTTTAATATTTCGATGGGTCTTTATTCCATGGCTGCAACACAAGCTTGATGGATACAAGGACCATATAAATAATACCACAAAGAGACGTGATCGCAACAAGGTTGGCAAATTTCTGATGCTGGTGTCATCTTGCTCTCACTGACATGACTACTTGTTCAAGGTACTTCCTCATGGAGTGCTGAACCTCATCTATAATTCAGCAAACAATTTTGGGGCACTGGATTTCAAAGTTTGTCGCCTGCCATCTTCACTTGTGTGGTATTCTAAATTTCTGATTGCCTATATCTAGATCATTCTTGAACCAGGTGCCATAGACCATGTTCGCAATACTTACATTGACCCCAATCATGCTGTCTTTGAACTTGTTCCTCCAGAATTCAGTAACTTCATACAACATTGCTATGATGAGCTAGGTTGCCCTCTCGTCAACTGCCAGTCAGCATGGACTGTCTACTTGGACTTACACCATATCATTTCTCAGCTCTATGAGCAGCTGCCACAAATAGTGCTCACTGATGAAGACAATGATCCCTTACCACTCCTGGAGAACCATCAAGACTTGCCGTTTCATGAGGATGAGGATGGAGCCTATTATATGGGTGGTGTAGGCAGGGGATTGGGTCTTGGTGCATCTCCTTCCTCATAGATAACATATTGAAGGCTTGATCTTGTTCATATAGATGAATCACATTCATGACAATTGGATGCACTTGCACAGGAAGATGAACCTGATGTATCCATTGTTGAAGAGAACAACCTGGAAGGGCTTGACCATGCTGGTCTGGTGGTCTGGGAGTTTTCTGACAACAAAGATGAGGATGTGGTAGACAAATGGTAGTTTATTTTATGTGATTCTCTAGGCAGCACACTTGAAATTTGCACTCAATGGTGTAAAGCAGCGCAACAGCAGCAGGAAGTTGATTTCAAATTCATATTGTTTATTTGTGTCTCTGAGGTTTCCAGAGTCCTACACCAATTTTGCTGACAAATAGAGTGTGGTGGTCCTGGCTTCCATAATGAACAGATGATGTAACTTGAATCATCCACAGTGCCCTCTGAGCTTTCTTTCATCCAGTGAAATTATTCACTGCGCATTGGTGAGTTAATATTCACGCCATGCGCCTAATACACTGATCTGCCACACCATAGTTTTGGAAAACGATATGTCACAGCACAGTCAAATCCTCTACCTAGCAACTAGCTCCCACAGACCACAGTGCATCATCGAACTTCAATAGTACTCAAAGGTTGATTGAGATACTAATTTGATTCATGGCCACATACCGTCTCTTTTGTGGAGTTCTTGCATATCCTCAGAGACAAGGCAAACATGTGGAATACTCTCAAACCAAATATCTTGGATTCATCCACTTTTGTGACCCGACTGCCTGCAAAACGTACGTCGTCCATACATATCAATGCTGCGTCCAACACTGTAGACATCAAACCCTAGAATACAAGTAGTGCTCATCTCAAGATCAATTGTCCCAATCCAGTTCTTCGCACATTTAGGTATATAAACAAGCCAAACGACCTTAAGATCATTGTTACACTTCCGATCGAAGCAGACACGCATGGCTCTACCAAGTAGCCTTCCTCATGATATCTACAGGGGAGGAACATCCTTTGTCTCATGGCAGGTGAATATTCCACAATTTCTATCGTTTTCAATTATTCACTTGCCATTGCAGGCGTATTTGTCCTGGTAGGCTGATTCATGGTTAATCTGGCAGTGTCGAGGATGATACATCACCTTGGCAGGTCATTGGTCTGCAGAGAACAGTCTGTGGATTGCAGCTGCTACCCTACTTGCTGTCTTGCGCATCGATCATGCTAAAGACTCAAATGGAAACAGGATTGAGGTGAAGCTGGAGTTCAACACCTGCTTGGCAATGTAAGTGACCTGGTTTGTATTCAAGAACCTGTGGCTGACTCTGCCGAAGTCAACCTGAACCATTTCAATGCTCGTTCGAAAGTGTGAACACAGTGAGAGAGGGACATCTTCGAGAGATGACAAATTCAAAGTAGGTTTCATTTTTAGTATAATAGCACACAATTGTACAATGGCGCAGAGTGCATTGTATGGTAAGGTTTTGCAGCCTCTGTGTCTGTCTCTGTAGGGAGAAGTACTGGTCAATCAAATATTAGGATATGGTTGTGAAGAAATAGAAAACCAAGCTCAAGACAGAGACAGAAGAGCACAAACATCGTCAGTCGTACCATAGTAATACTTGAAGAAAATGAAATCTGACATCAAAAGAAAGAACAAGACGCAAACCCACCATTATATTAGTAGTTTGGTACAGTGCTATACTATAATCATGATTCATAATATTAATCGAAAGTCAGGCGCTAGGTAGGAAGGGGACAAGAGCCACAGTTTCTAGTAGTCGATTCAGCCCTTCACAGTGCAATAAAGATGGAATGAATGACAGTCGGAACACTCAGAGTCCTTGATTTGAACTGGAGTGTGTTTAATTATATAACCCGAGAGAAAAGGCATGTAGAAAACTCGTGTAGATGGATTATTAAAGCTTGAATTGACTCTTTTGAGTTTCAGAATTTGAGTCTTTGTGGGAGTCAAAGCAGAATGCAACTCAATGATATCACTTTGCAAAACGTGTAGCTAATAAAATAAACCAAGTGATCCACAACTCCTCCAAGGGAATAAATGAGGGCATGTATCTCATTGGCATGACCAAAACCGGAGACATAGCTCGTCATCTAGTGGGTGTTTATTTATTTACCATACTGCAAAATCAAATCTTCAACATGAGGCCAGGATTTACCATCAACATGAAGCACACATAAATTGGGGAGCGTGAGTGCATCGAACAAGGGAACTAATGCGTCTCATGCTGACGTGAAAACGGTTTCAATGGAAAAAAATTGAATGGTAGAGTGAGTGAATGACTCGAAGGACAATCCATCACCAAGGAACATACCGATTGTTAACAATGAAAAGTTGGGAAATAGTTGGAGCAAACCAATGATGGTGGACGGGTTGCATATCTCGAAGTTGACATTTGTCAGGGGCCATGCTGGGTTGAGGTGAGATAAACAATTGATGTCGTAGCAGGCAAACAGTTTCAACTCGAGACTGTGCAGAGCGAAGAGTCGTGAAATGGGTGGTAAAATACATGATAGTGTATCATGATCTTTCATGACAACATCGTGACTTATGTCAACTTGAAGGACCTGAAGTGCCAGGAGGTCGTTAAACAAGATTTCAGGTGTGATGGCCTGGTCAAATGTGATGTTGAGAGAGGAAATCTGAGAGATGTAAGGTTGTAAAATGATTTGTAGGTTGGTCGTGTCATTTTTGATGCACATGATTTCTAAGGAGAGCGGGCATCTTTGCATCCACTTGAGCCATGAGTCATGGCAGAAGACAGCCTGCTGCCAGTTTCTGCTACTAGTGTGATTAATATCCATATACAGTTTGCACCACAAGGAGGGCATGTCCATAGTAATCTCCCTCCAGCATTGGCATATCCTGGTGAGTAACATAGGAGGTGATTTCAAATTGGGCAACATGTAGCTGGTTTTGGGAAGACAGTGGATAAAAATATGACAAAGGACTTCAGTTGGCAAGCAACACAAATCAGATACAAGCTCCTTGTGCAGGTTCATAATGACGACCATCTTTTGGGTGAGCTGCTGGCGAAGATATTTTGTTCTCCTAATGACAGCTCTGATAGGGTGTGCTTCAACTGTGAGGCTTGTGAACTTGATGCCAGACTGAATGGTGTTTGGATTGTCAACATGGCTCATCATATGGGAACAAACATACAGTTACCTATATGCAAGTTGTAGCAACAAGGTGCTATATGTTGCGACATGCGACGTGCATGAGCCCAGGGGTACTCCATGGTCAGAGTCTCAGTGAGGAGGCTTTGAAGATGTGTGAGAATGTTGCTGTATGAGCTTTTCAGAAGTTGTATGTTGCTGTCTGCTTCCGCTGAGCCAACACACTCAGCCTGTACATCATTTATCTGAGCCCTGGCTATGTACATTTGTTCAACTTGTTACATTATGCAGTGTGCACCATTCAACTTGTAAATCTTGCTGTCTATCACTTGAGCTTGGCTGCCTGAATTAGAGGGTGATTTCAACAAAGTAGAAGTGCTTTGGCCCATTTGTTATATGAGATGCAATTGAATCATATAAGGTGAGAGGGTCAAAGCATCCATGGATCAATGTAGAGCTCACATATTCGAAGCATATAAAACATTGTATGATTCTGAAGGAGTAATATCCTTGCACTGTGTCAATATGGTGATTAAACCTGAAGCACCTCATAAGTAATTTATTTTAAACCACAAGACTGTCAAGGCAACAGGAAGAATAGGGAACGTAGTTGGGATTGAGCTGGGACTGTCATGGCAGTTTATAACAGCAAAGACTAATATTTGAAGATCTCGACAATGCTGTGCCACAACTGTCGAAAGCCCAGACACAAAGCTTCCAAGGCCAATACCAGTGTTATCACAATATTCAAGCTTCCCAGTTTTAGAAAAGAAGATACTCAATGTTGAGGTCCGGACTCTCTGGAAATCACCTGACCATATTAGGGAGATCAGGGGACTCGAAGCCAGAGAATGATATCAATGGCTATACATATGATAAAGTACAGGATCATTTTCTGACAAGTTCTCCAGATCAATCAACTTGATGGTAAGTACACCAATCACCTCAATTCCATGTGCAAGTGATCGTATCATATGTCCAGCCTGAAGATATCCACACAAAGATAGTACTAGTACCCACTATTAACATAGACCGATGGCCAAATCTATATCAATAGCAAAGACAAGATCTGATAAACAACGATAAGGATCTCCACGATCGATTAGATGCCACGTTTTCGAGAATGACATGTTGACGCCCCAAATCGATCGAGATTTCTATTCCGCGGATTCCTTTCGCCCCGATCAATCTAGATCTACCCGAGTGCTTCCAAAATTTCTTAGATCTTGACTTCGTAAGTAGGAACTATACTCAGATTCTAAAACACATCATCAGAGAGCAAAAACACGCATCGTCATATCATGGATTACACTCTAGGCAACAGCCAAAAAAAATTACAAGTTCATTACAGAACCAAATCATTATATGTGATATACATATAGAACAGACAGGGGTGCAGGGGTGATGAAAGATGCAACAGAGAAGATGAATTACAACAGCGCGTTTGAAACGTTGACGAAGCAAAGTCTTGAAAGAAGTCAGAGTAGCGAGTAGATGGGCAGTGCGATGCGTAATACAAAGAACAACACGGAAAATTTGAGATGTGCAAAAGAAATTGAAAAACGATGTGGTAGATTGATGAGTACGAACCTCATCAATATGAATGGGTATAGCCCCTTGGGCAACCAGTGTGATATCATCATAACCATCACGAATAGGTATAACCCCTCAGGTAACCAGTGTGATATCATCGTGCCCCTTCCTTATTGTGGGCAACGATGGAAACCTAAAATTATTGACCCTCCAATCCTCACTGCCTCAGCATCGAATGCGGCTGATTAGTAGCGGGCAGGTACCAAGGCGGCGTAGGCGGTGGTCCAGCCCGAGACGGAGGGTGGTGGGGTTGGTGGTGTCCTTGCGCGGACGCAGATTGATGATGCCCTTGTGCGGATGTAGATTGATGGTGTCCTTGCGCCGTTGGCTGATGATGCCCTTGAGCCGACGCAGATTGATGATGCCCTTGTGCAGTAGATTGATGATGTCCCTGCGTTGTCGGCTGATGATGGCCCTGAGAAGCAGGCTGTGCTACAGGCGTATGAGACGCAGCAGGTGGGTGACGTGACGTAGACCCCGATGACGAATTAGCAGTTTGATGAGTCATAGAAGGGGTCGTGTGGTGGGGAATGGACGGCGTTTGGTGATGTTGCACAGATGGTGTTTGATGATGCGCAGATGGCGTCTGATGATGCGCAGACGGCGTCTGATGGTGTTGCGCAGATGGTGTCTGGTGGTGAGACGGCGTCGACAAATGAGATCCAGAAGGTGTCGTATGATGAGACATGGACGCCGTCTGCCCAGACGGATGATGCGAAACGCCCGCAGATGGATGTTGACCGCCCATACCAACACCAATCCCAGGGGACTGTATCACCCTAGTCGACGACGAACGCTTCGAGTTCGCAGGGCGCGGAGGACGGGCATACGTCCCGCTCCCACTCCCGCTCCCACCTGCGCTCGATTGAGAATTTAGATTGTGATCTTGATCCTGCATCACATCTCCAGGGTCTGTGTTGATCTGGAACGAGCCCTGGTGGATGCCTAGGTTCATCTTGTCATCTCCTCCGCCGTTACCACTACCACTACCGCTGCCGCTTCCACTCCCGTGTCCGTTTCCGCCAACTGAATTCATGACAGTTCCACCGGCAGATCCGGCTCCTCCTAGTGCAGCACGTGCCCCCTTGTCAGCATCAGCAGCTCTGGCACTCGCACGTAACATCTCCATGTCGATGCGCTGGATCGAGGGCGATTCTCCATTTGCGAGGGCTTTCTCGCGCTTTCGCACGAGTTTCGCGTAGTCTGAGCGCGCGGATGGGGAATTGAGCCATCAACAACTAATCCCACAAAAGAAACAAAAATCACATACGCAGCCCACACGCATTACACAACGTCCTCGCACCGTCCGGTCCCCGTCTCCACTCTGGCGTCTCTCGAATATTGCAAGAATGACATTTTCCAGGAGGTGTCGCGCGCTATCCACCACGGTCAAACACCGAACAACATCCAAGTAAAACATAGACGACTCACACTCCGCTTCCGATACTTATTCTTCCCTCCACCCCCTCCAGACCCGTTCCCACCCAACGCAGCAGCGGCCGCCATAGTCGTAAGCGCTCTCTTGGTTCTTATAAGCTCCATATCCGCTTCGGCCATCGATCGGTCTTGATCTTGTGTCAGGGCCGCTCCAGGGATCTGCGCCGGTCCTAACCCCGGTGTAGATACGAGAGGAACATGAACATGCCCTGCCGATGAAGACGGGGCAATACCAGGCCAGATCCGGGAGGTAGCATACCTTCTACATCCTCCCAAGGCCGCTTTGGTGCCCGATCGGGCGCGTCTACGTCCATTATGCCCATTCCTAGACTAGAGCTTGAGGTCATGTGTCCTTTGACGGTTGCTTCTAGGGAATGGGGGTGGACTGAGACGAGTGCGTGGGGTCCAGATGTGGAAGCGAATGCCGATGCGGAGAGGAGGGAGGATGGAAAGATGGGGGTGTCGCTTCGGAGTGCTTCAAGGAGACGGACGACTTCTCCTGCGCGGGCTGTCATTTCTGCGAGTTGTTCTGGGGGTGGTTGGATGTGTGGGTTGGAGGATTGGAGGGCAGCTGTGGGAGGGAGGTTAGTGTTGAGAGTGGGGATTGACGTGGAAGAGAGTTAAAGGGGAGACAAGACAGGAACTCACAATAATGATCTGCAAATTTATAAAGCGCAGTACAATGCTGAACGATCTAAAGAACCAATATCAGCATCACGTCCACACTCATCCACCATCATCAAACACAAGACAGAAGAGTAGAGGGGAAAAAGACTCACCTCCCGAATGACATCTTCCTTGCCCATTCTCTCATCTCCTGCTACCCGTTGAGATTCCTGGGACTGGGCTTGTGACTGAGACTGTAACTGCGAAATGAACCCCGTAGATCTTGCTGGACCTTCCAACATCATAGGTGGTCTTGCCTGTGATTCGAGCACCGCAGTTCTTGACTGAGCTTCGAATGGTGCAGGTCTTGTTTGCGACTCGAGAACTGTGGATCTTGGCTGAGGCTCAAGCATCGTCTGCCTCTGAGGCTCGAACGTCGGTCTTGCTTGTGACTCGAACGCCGTAGATCTCGTCTGGGTATCGAATACTGGTGGTCTCCCCTGCGTCTCCAAATTCGCCTGCCGAGGCTGAGGCTCAAACACTGCCTGCCTTCCTTGCGTCTGTGTCTGTGTCTCCGCTCCCGCTCCTCTAACCTGTGACTCGAATGCTGGTGGCCTCTGCGACTCGAACGCAGGTGGTCTCTGTGACTCAAACGCGGGTGGTCTTTGCGATTCGAATGTAGGTGCCCTCTGTGACTCGAATGCTGGTTGTCTCTGTGTCTCCACGCCCACCGCCCTCGGCTGTGTCTCCATTCTCACTTGCGTCTCCAACCCTACACCCACCCCCCTTGTCTCCACCGCCAGAGGTCTCGCATCAGCAACCGACTGCCTCTGCAACAAAGTAGGCCTGACTTCTACGGCGCGAGGCTCGACTACGCCTAAATTACGATCATTGGAAGTTGAGCCGCGTTGTTCGCGTGGAGGTTGGGAGTGAGGTAATTGTGATTGTGGCTGCGGTTCTAGCACAGATGATGCCCTTCCCTGTTGCGCATCATGCGAATAACCCAACTGCTGCTGCTGCCTCTCTACCGGATACCCCCGGACCTCCGTATGGGACTGGGAATAAGTACGCTCCACAGGCGGTGCATATGGTCTCGTATCCTGGGCTGGCGGGTAGGGAGGGGCGGGCGGAGGGTATGTGTTTCGGGGTTCTTGTGTGGGGGTGTATCGCGTGTCTTGCGTTTGGGGCTGTGGTGGAGCTGGCTGCGGCGGAGGCACATAGGGCCTCGATTCCTGAGGATAGGCACGGCCATCGGAATAGCGCGCGTCATAGGCTGCGCGGGCGTCCTGAGGCGGATAACGGGCATCCTGGTAGGCCCTCTCGATCTCAGGGCTGGTCTGGTAGCTTCGTTGATCAGCCGGATACGCCCTCTGCGGATCCGGATACCGCGGGTCTTGGTAAGTCCTCGCATCTTGAGCTGGGTAGGTTGCACGTGCGTCGTACCTAGGGTCAGGAGTGCTGGTGTAGGGTGGACGTGGGTGGTCTTGGGTGTAACGCGGGTCCTGTGGATAAGGACGTGTGTCTTGTGTGTAAGGGCTAGGGCTGGGCTGGTAGGCTGCGCGTGCTTCTGCGGGAGTGTACACGCTTCGATCGTCTGGTTGTTGTGGGTCACGTGGTGGATGTTGATAGCGGGGGTAGGTGGTAGTAGTTCTGTCATGAGCGAATGGAAGAGTCTTGTCGTCTAAGAAATTTCTTGTTGAACTTGAAGTGCTTGTTGTACTTTCTGCGGTTGTTGGTGGTACGTAGTGAAATGAAGAGTTTTGGAATTGTTGTGGATATGAGTTTCTGTGTGGACGTGCAGAGATTGGAGTTGGATAGGCTGTTGGATCTAGTGTTGTTGGTACTAGGGGAGTTGTTCTTGCGAATTGTTGATTTGGAGGCCATGCAGCGCTTAGTGGGGTTGGGTATACAGTGTCTTGTTCTGTTGTTGTGTGTGCTAGTTGTAATGATTTTATTGGTGGTAGTCTGACTTGAACTTCTGCGGTGACTTGAGGTCTTGCACGACGAGCTGGTGAGGCCATGGATCTCCCGATGCTCGGCGGTGAGATCTGAAACCAGATGCCCGATCTAATATTTTGACCTTTAAAATCTGAAAAATAAAACCGTTGCCAGCCTACACTCTAGTGGTAAAAACGTCCTTGACAATTGAAGCTTTGAACGAGAAGACGAGGAGGCGGCTGGGGGTGAAGGGCGTTCTCCCTGCGTTTTTACTTACAAAAGCGGAGAATCAATACAAAACACGTGGACTATCTCGGATCTAGCCTCACCAAAAACACGTTCCATCTAGATAAATTTAAATTCAATTCAACAAAAAATATCTTGCTTTTTTCTTGCTAGACACAATCGGCGATCCAATTCCCGATAAAGATTCCCGCCCGTCGTACGCTCGGGAATCGGTCGCATCTCCCTTATATCGCCGCTATCAAGAAACTCAATTTAATTCTTCTACTTTACGATATTTCCGATCTGGTAGCTCGATCTACTCCTTCGGTCCCTTACACCCCGCTCCTCTCTACTCTTTGCATTCATCGTTCACACGCCCCAGTTATAGAGTTTGAGCGCTTCATTGCTTTATCAGCCATCTGAGCTCACTACTCGTTTTTACAACCATCTTTTCAAGTTCAAATCGCAGACGTTACCTTGCTTGTGTCTTGCGAACAATCACCACCACTTCACCTCTTCATTTCATAAACATGAACTCTTTTACGCTATCAACTGTACTTCTACCCTTATTAGGACCATCCACATGACCTTCCCATCGCACTGGATGATGAGACAGCATGGCAGCGGGAGAGCTGGAATGGTGTGTCATCACCCATCTACGCTTTGACGAACCACCGTCACTTTGCTTTATGCTCAGACAGAGCTATTCGATCTCATGCACGCCATTCACGCTCTCTGGCTCAGATGGTTCCCCTTTCTCCATCTTTCTTTGTGTTCGAACAGGTGAAAGGGAGGATATGTACTTTCCATATCTGCTCTATTAGCTATCCGAGCACAGACGCGCTATCTTTCCTTTCCCTCTCTAGTCCATGCGCTCTCTGTTGGTTCGTTCGGATGAACGATAGTGCCATGCTGTGATTGTTTCTTCATTGTCATGGTGTCATCGGCCATCTGGGCTTTTATGGATAACGATCACTCTGTGCTTAGACAGATGATAAGATGCTTTCGTTCGTTCTTGCGATATCTCCTTTAGCAGCTGTCTGACCTTCGATACGCTACTCCAGGGCCACTCTCAATTTTGTAGGTGTCCGTATGTCATAATCTCGTTCGACGATTTACGCTGATAGATATGCTGCTAATAGGACTTCATATAATACATTATATGCAACAGAGCCATTGCGTCACCAGTCACCTGAGCTTCCATGGACCGTGCACACTTTTTCCTTTGGTGTTTATGTTCAAATGGCTGATAATCCGGGGCATTCTAAATATGGAAATCAGTTGTCTGGGCTCAGACACGTTACTCGCGTACAACCTAGGCGAGCAGTGACAATTTTAAGCAGGGTTTACTTTAAATTGTCATCTGCTCGCTCTAGGGCGACTCTGATCAATATCGACGGGTGTGTTGTATGTATGTATCTCGTTCGGTGCTTTACTCTGACAGTCATGCTACTTTGCAGGATGGAAACAGATCGTTGTAAGGGCCCTGATTCAGATCTACTCTGACTGGTGTATGCATGCATGTCAGAATCTCGCGGTCGATAGCTTACTCATACTTTCGCAGGTGCGCTTGGTGCTTTCTGACTCAAAGCTCTGATTCTCTTCTCTACTCCCCACTTACCAGGTCCACGCCCGATGACTTTATCACGCGCATTCGTGACAAAGGCATATACTCGAGCCGTAAGTTTCCTTTTTAAACTGATCTGGATATCCGATGGCCAATCTTACACATTACATCCACTCTTCACGCACAATTTATTACTACTCTGCAGCCCAGATGGATGATGCGTTGGTGATATTATCGTCGTCGGTGATCTCACACCCTATCAGCCACCAGGGCTTCCACGAATAAGGGTCACTTCTTCGTCTGCTTTGTGCTCAGACAGATGATAAACAGAGGTCAATAGGATACTTTGACTTCCCTTTATCAGCTGTCTGGGCTTGATAGATCATAGGGATCCTAAATCGATGCACGGTTTGGGCGGTGTGTTGGGGAGTTGCTGGGTGGGACGCCACTACACAGTAATCCAGAGCGACTGCGATCAATGTATATTTCTACAAAATTCAGATTGTCGTGGTCGCTCTGGCTGTCGATCAACATCTCTCTCTCAATAAGTTCGTATATATGTCTACTCAATCATCAGTGCACATGAAGTATATTGCAATACTCACGATACCTTAAAGAGTCGCTAGTCAACGGAAAACCTCAACGAACGTGCAAGATATGGGCAAGTTTGTCTCCAAGTCAATTGTGTCAAACCGACCGAATGCCGAAGAACCCCGTTCCGCTCATATCCGCGATCCTATATACATTCATCTAGCAGAAAGGGCTCGAATCAAAAGTGCCGTCGAAGGTA